CGTCTGTCCTACATACTTAAATCCACACTCCAATGGTATCTCATAGACAACACCAGTCTCGCAACATACCGACTTTTCCCGATGAGCCTTCTTGCACTCACTTACACCTGTTTGAAGAGGCGTCAGTTTACTTAATCTAAAATCTGAACTAAAGAACGTGTCTACTCCAAACTGCCTCGCACATGCCTTCAGGTTGTGAGAAATGTCATGATAATATGGGATTACAGCAAAGCGGTTCCCCGATTTCTCTTCGGTTTCTCTCCTGCCTTTAATAAACAATTCTAATTGCCTTTGTATAAAACTATCATCATAACCTACACTAATCAACCTTTTCCACTGTCTTTCTACTGATTCAGTGATATGATGGACACATGACCTTTCTAACGCGTTCCTGACCAATGACTTTACAATCCCCGCCTTTACGGTCTTCGAATTACAACTTATTCTTGGCAAAAACCGGTTTCGAGTTTTCTTTACCATATTCCCAACATAACCCTCAATTCACGTGAATATGTAAATCGAGAAAATTGCAGAATATCATCTTCCGGTTTTTCCACTGTAAATTTAAATTCTGGAGTCGTTGAGCTTATCACACTTTCTATGGTTTCTGTTAGACCTTCCGTAAACATGCATATTAAGATGTCATCGACATATCTTCTCACTATTGCCGAACCCGAGGATAATCCCAGTAGATTATCGTGCACTGCACGATTCCAAAGAGTTTAAGTAAACTTCTGCTAAAATCGGTGCGACTGATGACCCTATACACACCCCTTCTTTTTGTATATACTTTCTTCCTTCGTACTCCACTACCGTTGACTTGAGATAAAACTCCAAAATTGTTAAGAACCTTTCTACCGATATACCTGAGCCCGATTGGAACTTAACGAGATTCATAATTTTCAAGATTCAAATAAACAGAGTGCGAAAGAAAAAAAAAACACACAAATGTATACAGTATCAGCATCTTATTAGTTAGATTATACAGTGCTGTGTCATAGTCGGTCCCTAACATGGACCAGTAAGGAAACAAATTTCTTTATCGGACAGACTAACGTAGGCCATGCTGACACATTTATTCCTTTAGTTTGTTTATTTCGTAAGCTTCTTTTATCTCTCGAGTTTGTCACTCTTCGATCTCAGTAATTTTTTTTTTTTTGGTTGTCGGGACTGCGTGCACAGTCACGGCAGTGAATTCCCAGATGACCGGAGATTTGTTTTGTTACATTAAACTGATTTTCCCTTGATCGGTCATCAATGGGCCGTCCGGTCTGTCCGATGTAGAACCTGTCGCACGACAGAGGAATAGAATACACTACGCTTTCTCAATAGTTAGCAAAAGGCTATCGGTGCTTTTTTGTGCCATGTGTTCTCTCTTCCCCGATCTTGTTTACTTCCCGCACAGGGAAGACAAAAGCTCTGGAACAGAAAAAGACGACTTCAACTTCTGCTCTTTTTTCTATTCTCTTTAAATTGTGGGAAATCTCGTGCAAGTATAAAATGACGGACACTTTTTTTTTTTTTTTTTGCAACGGGCTCTTGGGCATTCGTCACTTGTTGAACGCTTCTTCAATATTTTCAGCAATTTTTCGGCAAATGAAGTTAGAATCTTCTGTGGGTAGCTGGTATTCGCAAGTCTGTCTGCTTTTTTTAAGAAGCTATTCGGCATGCGGTAGTGACACGATTTAGGAAGAGCAGAATTAAAGCGTGAATTTGCAATTCCTCTCTTCGCAATCTTTGAATGTGCTGAGCCGAACGGGAGGATTGGCTTGTTATTTCTGGGCTCAAAGGCCCAGCGTACATGGCTGGCTGACAAACACAGGCCTAGGTCTAAAATTCTGATGAAAGAGTCGAGTGTCAATTTGTGCGCCAGTTGCAAGAGTGCGAGACAGTCCTTAAAAATGTCCGAATTGCGAGTGAATTGGAATACAAATTCCAGTTGCGCCCAGTCTACGATAACTAAATAATCGTTTGTTATAATGCCTAGCGAGACCTACCTGTCAAACGCTTCTGAGGCTATATTATTTCTGTCTTTCGAAAGTGTGACGACGTATAGTTGGTCAAGGTTAGAAATGAAGTTAATGGGCTATGTAAGAGCTTCAACCTGGAACAGCTATCGCGAGGGATAGATACAAAAAACAGAACTTGTGTTTAGATACATGCTGTTTTCGGCAAAAACCCATCAAATCGAATGCCCGTTAAGGGTAATAGTGTCTGAAAATGAAACTTGGCAGAAATCTCTCGCGCAATTTTTACAAAGAAAAAAAAAAACTCGACTTACTGAACATTGACGAAGAGTTCAAGCCTCAAGGTCAGGAACTCAGAAGATGCCCTACAACTTTTAAGTGAAAATCCAAAATAGGGGCCTCTCAGCATTTTTTGCCAACGTAAAAGATTTATATTATTCTATTCCACATAACAAACTAATGTGCAACGTTAATGACTGTGTCGAAAATAGGGGGATGGTAGCGTTTCAAGACGAAAGTGGTATCCCCACAAAAAGGTTCTTCAAATAGCTCCATGTCTATCTTAGCTCGACATTTGCGAAGTGGGACAAGGGTTTTGTTATTCAAAGAAAAGGGGTATGCATTGGCTCCTGCATCGCCCCGATCACGAGTGACATTGTTTTAGCCAATGTTGACAGGCTAATTGCGGATCGCCTAGAGGGCACCAAAGTAGCAAAAGTTTTTAGATCTGTAGACGATTTTTTAGTTTTTGTAGATTGCGCTCAGCTGGAATTTGTATCCGAATTGATTCGCATTTCGGACACTTTTAAAGACTGTCTCGCACCCTTGAAACTGACGCACGAATTGACAGTCGACAATTTCATCGGAGTTTTTAGACCTTGGCCCGTATTTGTCAGCCGGGCATGTGTGCTGGGCCATTGAGCCCACAAGTAAGAAGCCAATCCTCTCGTTCGGCTCAGCACATTCCAAGATTGTGAAGAGAGGAATTGTGAATTCACGCTTTAAATCCTGCTCTTTCTAAATCGTCTCACCCACCGCCGCAAGCCGCTGCTCGAGCGATGTCACGTGGTCTATATTTGGGGTCACGTGGTCTATATTTGCAATGCGCGCTGCGAGCAGGGGACGAAAGCGTTGATCATTCGCAAACGTCTTCACCTTTCCTCCTGCTGTCCTCCTCGCCGGGCGAAAAAAGCAGAGCATCCGCAGTTGTGACCGATCGCCGCAGGAGGTGTCCGCTTTGAATTGCACACGCTCCCCGTGGTCTGAGAAGGACCCTCTCCTCCCATCTAGGCTTTCGAAAACTTTGCATGGCGCCTCGCGCTCCTTTGTATCATAGCGCGCATACGGCGCCCACCACACTTCCCCTTCTAGCCATCACAGTATCATGTAGTAAACCACTTGTTTGGGCTATCCGATGCTGTTTTCAACAGTTCTGAGCAGCACAATGCCGTGGCATAACTTTTAAGTTAGTTTCCACACGCTAGCTCAGACGTCTTTGCATCGCTGCGTTCACCGCCAAATCACCGACGAACGAGCTGAGCGAGAATCGTGACATCGCGAAAAGAGCTTCTAAACACCAGGTGACCTCTACAATATCATTTTTTTCCTTTTATTAAGTTTAGACGACAATTTTGTTCATAGAAACGTCATTACGAAATCAGCGATGTGCTCTTGAATCGATTATAACCAAGAATTTCGTATTTTCGGTTCAGTATCTCTTTACTAAGAATACTGAAATAAAAAAAAAAATTGAAACGATTAAAACAAGAAGGACGTGTCCCATCTAAACAACTTAAAGGGGTACTCCGGCGCTTTCTTCATAGTCCCCGATTTGCCTGAAAACGTGCTAAATACACCAACAAACATCGCTGACCATCCCCAACTTTCTTGAACATAAACACCTCGACGCATAAACTAAAATTAGAATTTCATCCGAAGAACAACAAACAACGCAATGTTCCCCGGCAAGCTTTGAGATGACAGTCACAAAATATCAATAAGCAGTAATTAATATTTTGGACGCGTATATATATATATATTTTTTTTTTTATTCTACGGCTCTACAATTTTTTTTTTCATTGAATTCTTTGGGCCACATTCAGAAAATGATCAATTTCTAATTTTTTTAGCAAAAAATCGTAATGTTCCCGATTTGTGTAATTGCCTATGAATCATAGAACGCAAATCAATTACAATTTGGATATTTCCTTGAAAAACGTTAATTCCACGGAATGGCCCAGAACTATGGTCATGATAGGATCTCAAATATTGCGCAAACATATTTCTTTCCCAAAGTTATCGAATTTGCTATTTCGGTCCTCACCGTATTTTTCGAAGTGAAAGTCTCTACCGGAAACAATGAAAAAAGGACGTCAGTGAAAGGCAGGAGTTCACTCGTTGGACTGTAGACTTTGTTCCCAACTGATTACAAACAATTTCATGGAATCAAATGAAGGCTTTGGAACCTCGCTACAGCAACCGCGCAGCAGCACGAGACAGATGCTCCGCATAGATCATTTTTAGACTGCCCGTTCGACCTGCAAGCCTGTCTTCCAATGGTATCACGGCACTGAAAGGTGCGGGTATATTCGAATCTTGATTTTGGCGTCATTTTCATTTGTCGACTTCACAAACACTTTTGTGAATTTCGCGATAGAAAATAGCATACGGGAAAGGGTAAAGGCCGGTGATGCCTAAAATATAGTTTGTTGAAGATAGCTAAAAAAAAACAAAAAAACAACGTCAAAATATTTGATTGAAAAAAACCTTTTATTTTATTTTATTTTATTTTAGTATTTTTCTAATCTAGAGTGATAGCGAAATCTTGAAGAAAAATGTTTCATGGTTCCTTCCAAAGAACATGCTGATAGCCTGTAAAGCACACAATGAAGTAATCGTCTAGACGGTCAAATGTTTTTAATTCCACGTGATGGCGATCCCCAACTTGTAAACGAGGGACGGATAGAGTGTTTGACCGTTGATGATGTGTGCTCGGGGGTCGCGGCCTACGGAGAGAAACGGCGAACGCCAAAATCGGTGATTTGATGCACCTTTAATGTGAACCAATGTACAAGATGCCCGATGCAAAGGGTTGCTGTATCCATTATGTACACGTGAAGCGAAGCGAATGAAAGAGCGCCGGCGAAGAGCAACCCTCAAGCGCGAGTTGCAAGGACAGAAAGGAAGGGCTGGTTCGCCGACCGAACGACAAAGGAATCGGAAGGTTCTTTTTCCGAGGATCGTGCTGGTAGCGCAGACACCGATCTAGACGGAAGCGCAAGCGACACTGCTGCGAAAGGAAAGAGTGCGCGCTAACAAACATATTCCAGTGGAGCCGAAGTGGTCGGCTCGGCATTGCGATCCGGAGCACCGAACGTCTTCAAGAGGAGGTGAGCCACCACCTCGCTGGCGGAAGACCAGGTGGCAGGAGAGGCCACCGCAGTCACGAGAAGCTACATGGGTTCTCGTGTGACCCCCAGTCCTCTGTGGAGCATGGCTGGAGGTGCCAAGCTGCACATTGCTGTTCCCATTCGATCGACGTCGACACTCCTGATGAACGCTGTCCAAAGAGTGAGGACAATTCTCTTGGCTACCGAAAACAAAAGCGGAGCTTCCCGATGCTCGGAGGAGCGAAATTCGCATCGCAGCAATTCTAGTTCAATAGTCATCGTCGCATATGAGAGGAGGCTTGCTCGTGCGGGTCCTCTAGCTTGAATCCTCAGGTCAATGTGAATTTCCCGTAACCTCTCGGCTTTGAGGTATCTGTGCTTGCCGCGAAGAATTCCATCGCATTCCATGGGAGCGTTCTCCAGGCTTCCCGGGGTGTTGCCCAAAGAATGCCCGCGCCTGCTTGGCTGCGCGGTGGTTAGAAGGGACGTCCGCGCCCCGCCCCTGGCACCACAACGTTGGACAGCGACGATGCAGCGGCCTTGAACCCCGGGATCAGCTGTGCAGCCTTCTGCACGTCGGCGTCAGACAGAAACGGCGTGTTCTCGACGCCGATGTTGTCGTTCAGGTAGAAGAAGTCCGGCGCGTTGGTGCACGGCACGGCCTCCTCCGCGAAGGCGCACGTCAGGCTGAGCTGGCTGAAGACTGTCTGGTTGCCGCACAGGAAGCTATACTGCTGCACCTCGGCGCTGCCGTCGTCTTTGGGCACCACGTTGCACACGTGGAAGATCTGGCAGTTGTTGTCCACGTCGGCGAAGTAGCCGTTCTTGGCCGGGCATGTAAAGGACGTCTTCACAGAACCCACCAGAAGTTCTGCGCCGTCTGGCAGCTCGTAGGCGGCCCGTTTGCTCTGCACAAATGCCACCCATGTTGTTGACGAAGACGTACATACATAAGGCCCTGCGGAGCTGTGTCGGCGCCAAAGGAGCTGCACGTTCCCTAGCGGTTGCCGTCCACTAATTTCAGAGCGAGATTGACAGTTCCTTCACGCAACTAAAGCGGCATCCTACGAAGTCAGAAGCCGTCTCGGCTAAGTGAATAGGGGTGATGAACATTAGGGGAATTTTTTAATCGCGCTTCCTATTTTAGTGTTCTACCTTAGCGACGCTAAGGCTGAGTAATAGAACTTCACCAGAGAGCCTCAGCAGATTGTTTTTTGCGGCCAGTATACCGCTTCACCGCGCTCTAAATAGCGATGTCGTAGCCGCAAAAAGGATCTATTGAAAGTCCTATTAAGCACTACCACCATTCAAGTATTATATGCCTTCAACGTGCTATGCAGGCTGCTTCTGCAGTGCCAATTTTTTTTTTTTTTTTAATGTCCTGTCAGTTTTATGAACGTTTCGGGCTTTCCGCACCAATAGCGCAGTTTTATTCTGTGCGGCTTAATGTAAAACTAAAGCGGATCTTTATTTGAGAAAAAAAGAAACACTTAAATCGTCTTCATTTCGCTTCCAGAATTGCGAATATGAAAATTATATTTCCAATTGACGCACCAAGTAGCCATAAAAGCGCTTTCGAAAGAGCGCTGAAGCCCCTTCCGCCTTCCGCAAGCCTTACCCGAGCAACCCCAAGCGCTGCACGTGTTCCCTCACAAGCGGTAAGCGCAAGGCAGTCTCTGCGGATGACATCACACTCAGCTGTTCGTTTTTCGCTTTTTCTCTCGTCTATTAATACGTTCGGGTTCAAACGCTCATAATATTCAAATTTACGGGACAAATATCCGCTGGCATGCACCTGCACCTCTAACTGTTTTCTTTTTTCTATAAGAACGTGTTTTATCACTGCATACTTGTCCCTCTTCGATCGGAACGCGGACGAAAAGCTGACTGACAGGATGTGGGCTAACTGTTCATGATATCCAAAGTGACTTACCCTCGGTGATGCTGCAGCGAGGGCAATCACAGTCAGGGCTGGAAGAGGTCAGAGCCGTTAAGAAAGCCACAACGCATCCTCGTTTCCAAAGAATCGAAAAGCTGTACTCACTCACAACTAGCTTCATCCTGGTTCTGCGAGCAAGGAGAAAAAAAGAAGGATGTGAGAGTGTCGCTGGTTGGGCCTCATGTGAATTGCGGCAAAGCAAGGAGGTGTTCAGCTGGAGGACGCTCCAGTTGATTGATTGACTGATTAGGGTGTCATGATACTAACCAAATATGTTTTACTTCAAAGCCGTGTAGCTTTTATTGCATGGCGTTAGCATCTTTTTAGGATAGTAATTTACATTATTATTCCACGATCAGTTGCTAGCGAAAATATCTTCCAATATCTTAAACGTTTTAGTACTTCGATGACGTGGCCAGCTATAGTGATATTTAGATTAGATGATACTTGAACGTTTTTTGTTTTTTTTTCGAACGGAATAACGTGCATTTAGTTTTGTTTCTGTTTATTGGTAATCGATTTACTTTGGTTCACTTGTGCAGCTACGTAAGCATACGATTTGTTGCCACTTCAAGTTTGTTACATGACTTGCTTTTCGAAAACAATGTAGTGTCGTCAGCGTAGGCTAACAACTGTACACTCCGGAATACAATATTAATATTAAAGATGATACTGAGTTATTTCTTTAACAAATTGCTCGCGATCAGCTAGATATGACTTCAACAAAACGAGTGAAAGGTCTTAGGCCACAACAGTTTTTTTTCTGCTTCTTCTTTATATATATATATATATATATATATATATATATATATATATATATATATATATATATATATATATATATATAATAGTATAGACGATGAACGAAATTAAACACCTTAGAAAAAATCAATATATACGGACAGAAAGTTTTCTGCGATATTTATATAATTATTGTTTTCTTCTGAGACAGCAAAGCTGACTCTGTGGACGTTCCCTTTCTAAACCCATGCTGTCATTTGGTTTGTAGAGAGAAACGTTCCAAATACGTAAACAATTTACTGTAAAAAATGTTTTGAAACGTTTAAAAAATTAAATAATATTAACATCGAGTTGTAGTTGTCTAACAGATTAGTATCACCGCCTTAAAGAGAAAAATAACATTATCAATTTGCATACGCTTACAAAAAAGAACAAAAAAAAAGCCTAGCGAGGATATTGACAACTTGAATACAAATGTCAAAGGTGCGGCTAACAAATCAAGAACCAATTTGAATGCTAGAATGTTCAGGTGATTTACATAATCGTTCTTGCTGTTATTTACGCTTTGAAACGCCCTTATTACTTCATTTTCATCTGTTGGTCTTAGGGAAAACGAATTTGTGTTTATTATTACATCTACAAGCTCCTGATTGTTTGGTACAGGAGAATAAAGGAGTGTATCCAAGCAACGATGTTTCCTCGGAGGGCCGGCATTTTCTTCTACCTCCAATCGATCCCTGTATCCAACCACCAATTATTTCTCGTACACCGGCATTTCCTAATGCCCGCAATTTATTACGGTATCCAACGAACGATTATTTTAACGTACGACCGACATTTTCTTCTGCCTTCAATTGAGGTTTCCCGTTCACCGGGATGCAAACGAGTGCAAGGGTTCGCCCTGCTTCCACGAGATGCCGCCACGGGGCTGAATTGTGGCGGCGGTGGCGGAATTTCAAAGGTAGTTTTGAGATGAAAAAGAATGAAAAGTGATTTGGGGGAGGGAATCAGTGCAGACATGAGGGGTTGTGTAGTTGCTCGCATTCCCCGTGATACTCGGAACGTCGCTCGTTTCCAGCGTCGTTCTCTGCAACCCTCTACGAGCTCCAAAACTGTGCAAATAACTCGCGCGCACGCGCAGTAGCCGCGTCTTCGTTGAGGACAGGCAAAAAAGGCCTACAAAGACCTCTCCAAAGTCCCAGAATCCATGAAACGCAGTAATAATTTCAAAGTATTTAAAAGACATTAACGGTCGTTTCGGGGAGTGAAGAACCTTGATTTGTATCAAACTTTTTCGATACAAACTAAATTGGTCTCGTGACGTCAGATCACGGAACATCAATTTTTTTAGCTAAATAGAGCGGGGAAACTGAACTGGTGTATAGGCTACGGGACGTCGGTCACGTGTCACGAAGAGATGTCACCTGACCGTAACACCAATTCATTTTTCTCGCTAAATTTAGCGCCAAATGCACGGACGGACAGAAAAACATTTTGCGAGGGGGGGTTCCATTAAAAGCATCTTATGCTTTAAAACTCTTTATTAACGAGAAACGCCTTCAGTGCGATGACGCGCCACCTCAAGCTAGGTGTGCCAAAGAAACCTGTTGCAAAGCATGCAGCGCCGTCCGCGGCGCCGAAAAGAATGCCGGGAAGTCTATGTACAGAGTTGGTTGTGAAAGACGATTGGGATGACGGAGAAAACGCGGGTGAGTTAATAGCAGCCGGTATTAACGAAGAATGTGTTTGATTATCCGATTTTCACCGATTGTAAAGAAAACCCGACATCGAAAAGCGGTACGCACACTGGGAACCATATCAAGAGATTTGAGTCCCCGGCTGGATTTCAACTCACCACCTTCAGATGGTGAGCCAAGTGCTTTGCCAACTGAGCTCTCTAGGATTTTTCTTTTCTTTATTGCTCAGCTATCTGGGATGTTTTCTTTTTTGTTTCTTTATTGCTATATTTTGACAGTGAGCAAAGAACCACAATGCATGATAAATTTCGCTTAACAATGTCATATAAAATATTGGGAAAAGATGACGTTAGTGAAGATGACGATGAACGCCTTCTTCAAGGTTTTGACATGCGGTGAGAATTGTTAAAATTCTCCGATCATCGACAGCTTCGCAAAGGCCGGCAACCATCCGACTTCGGACATAATTTCTCGTACAGAGCTGCTATCAAGTTTACATTTTCAATGAAATGGTGGCTGCTAGCAGGCTAAAGGGAACCCATTAGCGCGGCGCGGGAGGGCGCGGTTTCGCGCTTCGCGGTCTTTCGTAGAGTGCCTCAATGTTGCTGAGCTGGCGGCCCTCCCAGAGTTAGGTGGGACAACTCTCTTCGCGGCGAGAACCACGCTAGGGGGTGCTACTGAGCAGCACGTGAATGTCACGTGATACCCGAAATGTGAGGAGGCCCTGTTTGTTTACATCGCGCGCCATTGCATTACGGCGTGATTGCTTGCTTTGGGACGGGGCGCTCTGGTTGGTTCTTGTTCTCTCGGTGGTGACACAACATACGACACCGAAAAAGGTACAAGTTCCATATCCGAGGGAAAAACAACTGGGGAAGTAGAGACTGTATTAATACAGGGCAAAAAGGAGTGGGCGAGCACGATGGGGGTGTGCTCGAATCGTGTTACGAATCATGTTTTATTTTGCATTATGTATTGCTTTTCTTGGCGAGTCTCTGTTTCGTTCTCCGTACGGATTCCAATGGCGGGACTCTGCACCAAGGATAATCCGATAATCCGCCTTTTCTTTTCCCCCGCACTCGAATTTTTTTCTCCGTGTCGTCACCTGTCGCGCTGTAAAGTTGAAAGAATGAACAGACCTTTTTATGATGTCCGAAACGAAAAAAAACAACAAAAACAACAAGGCCCCGATGATCCCTCATTCGAACAAGTCTTTTTTACGATGTGGTAGACGCGGCGTATTCTTGTGATCGAGAAAAAAGAAAAAAAGTAACCGTTGCTGAATGTACATACTTTTGTGCTCCCTATTTCGCCTACCGGTAGACGCCATCGGGATTTTTTTTTTCTTTTTTCTGTGCAATAATATGCGAGTTGTTGGACGTTTCTGTTCAATACTACGAGTGTTCATTATTGTAGACGGCTCATGGCCAGCAAGAGAAAATGTAATATAATTTCCTAAATTACTGGCTGTGTTCCTGGGTTTGGAATACATTTTAGCGCTCAAAAAACAGGGACAAAGAGGCAAGAAACAGACAGCACAGTGCAAATTCCAAAACCAACTAGCCCAACAATCTACTTTCCTGGGTTTGTTGCGCTTTATTGGTAGTAATCGTAACTGGATCACAAAAGTGTTTTTTTTCACTCGCCGGAAAGATATAAAAAAATCCAACATCTCCTCTTTTTTTTAATTGTATTGTCATTACGGTCATCACATAAGATATAAATCTGTGCATTGTCTCAAATGGCTGTCATTGGAGAATTAGCTGTCGATCCAATGATTTGTTAGTTTAAATGCACGATCTTAACAAAACGACTCATTGATAAAGACCATTTCACAAAACGCTTTTCACTCGAAGCTTGACTATGATTATTTGTTTCTTCTACTTTTGTTGTGTATAATCTTTTTTTTTTTTTTAAATAAGATTCGAGCTAGGCTTTCAAATTGTGTGCCTCTTAGGCTTTCAAATTGTATGCCTCTTCAGAATGCAACATCTATCTTTGCATTAACCCTGTAAAAACTCAGTCATCCAGACTTTATTGTATAGACTAATTGTATATTGTATAGACTAATTGTATAGAGACTTTTTAGTGTTGTGTCGTTTACCCGCAGTCTCGGGGTTTTTCAACCATGTGTATGCCTCTTAAGCTTTCAAATTGTGTGCCTCTTCAGAATGCAACATCTATCTTTGCATTAACCCTGTAAAAACTCAGTCATCCAGACTTTATATGCAGGGAGCATTAATTTCTTCACTGCAATTACTAAAATAATAAACATGGTGCTGCTGGTGACATTATTAAGCTTCGTAAAGTCCAGGATGTGTATAAAAGCAAATGGGTACACGACTGCCCCTGATTTGTTAAAGATGCAACAATCGGGATAGATACCTAGTAAGTTTATCTCAAGGGAGGAAACCAGGACAACAGTGGTGCCTTTGATTGTTATCCAAGGAAGTGGGACAAGGGCCTTTTCTAAAACTGTCAGGTCAGAAAAGAAGATGTAAATTTAAGACAGTAGTGGAGTTAAAAATGGGCGTCTTCACTTTGCTTTGCCCAGGACAAAAACTAAATAAGAACACTCCAGTTAGCAGCATTATAGCCTCGGACGAAGATCTGCCAGACGCAGAATTTGTAATTGTCCACGACGAATGCAAGAACATGATAAAAAAAGACAAAATTAAAAAGTCACTAGCCAGACAGTGAGGCTGAACGAAAGCCCATTCAGCTCTGAGAAGCAGTGGCGGAGTCATCACAATGGGCTGTGCCGCGCTTCCGCTAGATGGCAACACCAAAACCTCTCGCCGCATGAAATCCGAAGTGCATGCGAGACTAGAAATAAAACAGCGCGGAGTAGGTAGACTGGCTTTGGGGGCACATTGCAAAACGCCAAACCAGGGAGTACAAGGAGACATGGGATGGGCGTCATTTGAGAGCAGGGAAGCGGTGAGCAAGATAGAATTTGAGGATACGTTGAGGCAAGTGGATGGGGAGCAATGGGCACGAAAGGTATTCAGCTATTTATACATGAGGAGTGTAGACACAAAGTGGAGACAGCGCACTAAGAAATTAAGAGGAAAGTATTTGGGCTATAGCGAAGATACGGAAGAGCAAGTCTCACTTAAGAAGAAAGTTAAGGCCACAGAAAGAGATCGGTGGCTAGAGGGAATGCAGACAAAGACGGCTCTGGAAAGCTATAGATTAAACAAAACAGTTATTGCCAAAGAAAGCATTTATGACAATTCTAGGGGAAGCTCATTGTTGTTTGAGGCGAGGATGGGTGTTCTGCGAACCAGAACATACAGAGTGAAGTACCAGGAAATGGATACAGTGTGCACTGCTTGTGGAGAGGAGGACGAGAGGGCTGAGCACTTGATAATCTACTGTAAAAGGCTTCACCCTATGCCTACCGAAGACAACATAGATTTAATAAAGTCATTGGGTTTTAGAGACAGCGAAGGGAGAGTGGATTTCAAGACTGTAGAGATTACCAAGCAAAGATTAAGGTGCTTCGTTTCATTACCGAGTCGAGGAAGCCTCTGCTTGGAAAACCTTATTCTGATCTCAACGAGTGCTTCATAGTTCCGCATTTTCACGGGCACAAGTCGAACCACTGGTTTCACCTATACGAGTTCAACACATCGCGGGAGGCGAAATAGTGGCCACGGCCGAAAAGTCGGAACTCTATCTTGGCGCAGTTGGCAAGCAACATTGAGGCACTCTAGTCTTTCCTAGCCTTTCCTGTCATGCTGCGCCACGTCTCACGGCGTGCGTCAGAAATGGGAGCGAATGTTCGGTAGCTGATGCCATTCAGACGCCAATTTCTTCCCTGGAAGGCCCCCTGATCTCTATGACAATTCCTGGATCACGCTTCCCCGCTTGATCGTTGCAGCCCTGCAGCGCGAGTGAAGCCACCGGACGGCCATCTTGCTCATAGGGAAATTGCGGTTTCGCTAGCGTTGCAGGGGCTGGCGGCAGCGTGTTGAAGGCACGTTTCCAACTCGTTCGTCGTCATTCGCCGAAAAAGGTTTTTAAAGGCCGACGACCAGACTCGAGATTCTGCAAGGCAGAAGACCCTCCTCTCCACGCCTTCGGGCGAGGGAAGCGAACGATGGAAAGAAGGAACCAACAGGGGCGGGCATGGGTGGAAGGGGTAAGAGGGAGAGGAGGAAGCGGGCGAAAAGTGGAAAGCGCGAACTGGTCGTCGGTCTTTAAGACCCTGTGTAGGCATTGAGACTTGCCGTTGAGAACACGTGGAAATTTTTACGAAAGCGCAGTGCCGCAGGAAAAAGGCACAACTCGCCGAAAGCAAGTTTCGCCGGTCTCGCGGCGTCCTCAAAGCTTCCTTGGCACGCAGAAGTACGGTGTCTCTTTGCCTTCGCAAGCTTGGATACCGATCAAGATTCGACTCCGTGTGGATGCGTTTTGCGAGCGCAATGTGCGTCAAGCCGTAGGTGCATCTAGAGCAGCGCTTTACTTTACTCTGACGACTGTATTTGCAACTTGCGGCTCTCGCAGTCCAGCAGTGAGCTTGATCCAGCGTCCAGTAGCGACAGTTTACAGAATACCGTGCACACGTTAGACGGTTTACAGAATACCGCGCACACAGCTCCACACCACACCAGTGGTCTGGCTCATTATCAACCATTACACGGGACATCAAGTTTGAGCGCGGCTCGTCTAATTGTGATTGGTCAACCGATTGCACACAGTCAAATGGGAAGCGTCTCAAAGATTTTCAATCTCGCCGTCTTGTACTTTTGCCCTACGAAAACCATCCTTGCTCCACAGCGTTGCTCTATTTGTGTTGTCATGTGATCCATTAGAGTAGATTTTGAGCATAGCCATGGTTAATAGTGCATAAAAGCAACCGTACAGATTGTCCCCCCCCCCCCCCTTTATTGATAACAAATCGCCGGAACAGCTGGACGATCCAAAACTCCGCGGCCGATATATGATGCAAAGACATCTACGCCTGACACACCTGTAAAACTTTGCCGAGACGCCGATTCCTGATCGGTATCCAAGCTTGTGAACGCACAGAGACGCAGCATTTCGGCGTGCCACGAAAGCTTTGATCACGCCGAGAGACCGACGAAACTTGCTTTCTACGAGTTGTGCCTTTTTCCTGCGGCACTGCGCTTTGGGAAAATTTTCCACGTGCTCTCAGGAGCAAGTCTCAAGGCTTACATAGGGTCTTAAAAAAACGCCATCAGCGAATGACGACGAACGAGTCGAAAACATATCTTCAGCACGCTGCTGCCAGCCTCTGGGAGGCTAGCAAAACCGCGATTCATCTACGAGCATGTGGCCGTCCGGTGGCTTCACTCGCGGCTGTGGGAGGCGCGATCCAGCAATTGTCATAAAGATCACTGGGAAGGCCTAATCACACATTCTCGATGCTCAAGAAGGTGGCACCCTTAAAACGAAGGCATATAAATCCGTGGGCTTGCCGAAGAGCGTCGGTCTGGGTGAGTTTCGTACCGGCACGCGTTCGTGTAACCACTATACGGCCTAATGCACATTAAAAGCCCCAGGTTAACGGTTGTACTGCACTGGCTAAATTTGTCATCTACAGCTAAGAGAACGATCACCCGTTGAGGCGTATCTCCATCAAGGCCGTAGAAACATACAAAGAGATACATTTTTTTGCAGAGCGTCGGGCTGTGGCGGCGGACTTACCGCGTCGCTCGTCACGGCAGACCTTGCAGCTGCGCCTTGACTGACTGCGGGACTCGTCTGACACGCGCGCGCGGCCCGCTTATATAGGCGCTTGTTCGCTGCGAAAGTCGGAGCGCCGAAGAACAACAAAAGGGGCCGTACGCGAGAGGAGCTCGCGACTTTTTGCGGTCGTCATCAGGGTGTTCTTATGCAAAGCAAGCGAAGTCTCCGCGTCACCTCGAGCCAGAGGTGGCCGAGTAATCGCTGGGAGGAGGGCCCAACGAGGGGGCTCGACGCTGGGCTCGACCTCTGATCGCGACGGGTCGCCGCCGTTTCCGTGACCGAGCCCGCGGAGGGCACGTGCCGCTCGTGTACCGGAGACACGCTTTGCAGCGTCACCGTGGACGCGGCACTTTTGCTTTCCATATTTGCCCTCTGTCGCGGGATCAGCACGGGCTGACGACCGGAACTTTCGCAACGGCCGCCGATCGCTTCGTCCGCGCTCCCGAGAAGCCGCGCCCGACAGCACTCGGAAGCCACTCGGACGAAGCCTTCGAGGCCGGTGCTCACGTGGCGTCGTTCGGAAAGAGCTCTGCCCGTGCACCACCGGCGAACATGGCTAGAGGCTGCCCTTGATGGGGCTCTCTCCCCGCCAATCGACCATTTTCCGAACGTCGTCCTCCGGCAGTGGCGGGCGCCATACCCGAGCCGCGGTGACCCGACCGCCAATCCAGCGGAAGAAAAGTTACTCGAGACAAATTTGCGCGGAACGTTGACGCAGCAATCGCCTCAAGTACACATGTGCTCAGAGAAGAGATGGCAGTAATGTCATTACAGTAATGAAATGACAGTAATTAAATTACTTTTTCTCGTAATGAGTAATGCAATTGATTACATTTCTAGGCTAGTAATTTAGTAATGTGATGAATTACTTTCAGACGGTAATGTTGAGAAGATTACTCATTACTTTTAAAATTAAACTTTTGTCCCAGATGGGAGAGTTCGTTTGCGAGCTTCGATACAAAAAGGAAAAATTATTTAAAATGGTGAAATATTGCGAGAGAGATTATCGGAGCAAATTGACGGGCATCTGAGTGCCAAGCGTCGTGCGAGGAACACGACAGACGCACAAAGGCGGACTTGAAAGGAAATGGAGAAAAGTCATCGCTGGAGGGCTGCGTCTCACAAACTCCCCGGCAAAAAATATTCACGGCGTCACGAGGGTACTACACTACGGTCATTGCCAAGCTGACATTGGGAGCTCACCGGAACCAATCAACCACCTTCCTTTCATCGCCTCTGCGTTTTACGTGGTGAAACACAGACGTGTGACTTTTCCCACGAGCATATAGCTTCCACCGCACTGCCAACTTAGGGGCGAACGGCTTATAGGCTACAGTGAGAGGGGCACATCACCAGTGAGGTGAACACTTCCTAAAACCTGAAAGAAGACACGCGGATCCCAAGCCTTGCTCTTTCGTCAAATAAAGTAAAACTGTAACTTTCGACCATCGTGAACGACAAACGACCGGAATAAACAGTTAATCCCAAAGGACTTGTCAAGGCTCTAGAACGTTTCGTGAGTATCCTTGGCCTTGGTAAGTAAAGATGATGATGATGAGGATGATAGTAATAATAATAATAATAATAATAATAATAATAATAATAATAAACAGAAAAAAACAGTCAATCATGAATAGATTTTTAACATTAACTGCACAAACTTTGATCTGCGGTTTAAATCACTATTTTAAAGCTGTTGGGTAAATACCGCAGGGTGCATTTGAGCATTTGCTTACCATAATTTGTCCTCTGAGGATTCATCCGACAGCATTCAGTGTGACGAGTAGGATATGCCTGAATGTTTACACGCTACGCTTTTTGTAGTCGTAAAAGACGGGAAGCGAGCGAAGCAGGTGCCACCCGCGGTATGCCTCTCTGTCTTTCATTGGGAAGTTTTTTAGGGAATAAGCAAACGAGCAGTTATCGCCACCCGTTTGTTGGGAAAGTAGACATTTTAGAACGCTGGCGCCGGGCCTTTCCTTAACTGGCGACGCTTCTGCCCAGCAAACATTTCCTTGTGTGATAATACACCATAACTTCGGCTCTTTGGGTGTTTTCGAACACTATACTCCTCGAAGTGAATGACCGGGGTTGCGTCAACTAGTACCCTTGGGAGAAAGTAATTAGTCTGCGTTCGAGTCGGAAAGGAAACTTTTTACATGACTTTTTGTTAGAACGAGCTCCCATGGCCCGGCTTAAGTTATTGACACATGCTATACCTTCTTCGGATTCAAGAAGATGGCATCATATCACCCTTTAACTAAAGACCTTGACCGTTGAATGAACAGCGAAAACGGCGAGTCGACTGTCTTTGAGTCAAATCTAAAGAAGCTATTCATCATGTTTACTAGTTCTGTCGTGTACGCCAGCGGAACGACGGTTCAGTATGGTTCACTTTGAGGCACATGAGGCTACTGCGGTGTAAACAGGAAGATCTCAGTTTTGGTAGATATACTGGAAATAAAATGAGCACAAATTACTGGATTAAGGTTTTGAAAAAGTAATATCGAAGTAATTTCATTACTTTCGGAAAGTAATTGTAATGTCAATACTTTTAGTCTATGGTAATATGTAATGTATGTTAATTTCCTTTTCGCAGTTTCTAGAAAAAGTAATTAGTAATATAATTTACTACCTTTTTGAAAGTAATTTTGCCATCTCTGGCTCAGAGTATGTGACGAAAATACGGCGACCCCAAATAACTGACGCACCTTCATAGAGATTGTCTATAGTTTTCCTATGGTCTACTATGCTGTGAGATGACTTAGAAAGGGGTGAGTGCCCGTTCGGGTAGGACCCAATTGTGAAGTCACTAAAATTAAACAAGTAGATTATTTTTCAAATAGAATGTTCATAGGCTACTTAGTATATACACCAAGGTTCGCGATTTTGAGAGCTCTATAGTCGGTTACAAGTAAAGAAGGTAGAAGAAGCTCCTCCAACAAGCGGGAAGCGCCCGCTGCAAACCCCTCAGAAGGCGATAAAATAGTTCGCTGAAAACGCCCCTTCTTCTGCTCCAATGAATAGATATTGGCTACAGACCTTGTAGCGGGCGGCACCTTACGCCACCTAGCCGAGGAAAATCATGTATTTTAGGCTGCTACAATACTGACTCTGGAGGGTTGAAGTAAAATGTAGGCTTTAGTGGCAACGAAAATTGTTCGTTACTAAAAAGATTTAAAAATTCCCTGTCTATTACAGGCCTGAGTTAGAGCAGTAATGCAATTATATAAAATAAGAGGCGAAAATAAAGCATTATTTGCTCTGTAAATAAACATAAATTGTAATTTTGGTAAGTAATGCATATATGGTTGTTGGTTTTAGCTTGATAGCCTTTCTGGACAAATTATGTGTATTCGATGCGTTTGTTAAACAGGGAAAGCAGAGATAACCAAAAACCGCTGCGTTTCGGGCTTTGACAAGTCCGAATGAGGTCTTCGCGCTTTCCGTTATGAATCCCAACGTGGAGACAGCGGAGTGCGATTCCTCCGATTTTTCTTTCTTCAAGAGAGTCTGGTGCAGCCTCGCCGTCTCACACCAAGGCGCCTCTGCAGGAAACATAAAAGCGGCTATGTGCTCAACCGAGATGAACGGCAGCTGATAATGAACGCGTACGTTCAGGTGCGACACGCACCGCCTGCCAGGCCCGGCCAGCCCGGCCTCACTGTGGAGGAGTCCTGCATCGAAGTCAGCAATCTGCTTGGAGTTGGTGTACGCACCATCATCGAGATCAGGAAGGAGGCGAAAGCAACGAGGGGACAAGTTGTGACACCATCTTGGAAGCGCCCAGCAAGTGAAGGCAAGAGGCGGCGCACAGTCAAGTACGGCGACTTCCCTTTGTGCACGTTGAGATTGTGCGTCCACCGTTTCGACAGAACGAGGTCCCCATGGTCCAAAATATAGCGGCCAAATTCATCACATCATTTACTCTAACATTTTCAATTTTCTAGACTCAAACTCCTTTTTTAACTCGGCGCAACATGGATTTCGAAGGTTTTATTCATGTGAAACTCAACTCCTGACCTTTACCCATGACCTTCACATAACACTTGATCGGGGTTCCAGGACTGACTGCATATTTCTTGATTTCTCAAAAGCTTTTAACAAGGTTCCTCAAGCGCTGCTTCTTCATAAACTCCGTAAATGTAACATAGATCTTAATATAATCGCTTGGATAGAATCGTTTCTATCAGACCGTTACCAATTTGTTCACGCTAACGGAACTAATTCTTCAACCTCACGTGTCAAGTCCGGTGTCCCACGAGGTTCCGTATTAGGTTCGCTTTTATTTCTTATATATATTAACGATCTTCCCACGCGTGTATCCTCTTCTATTAGCCTATTCGCAGATAACTGTGTATAATTTATAAGGACAGATCTGCTCTTCAGACCGATATTAACAACGTCACCCGCTGGTGCGATAATTGGCTTATGGAACTTAAAACCTTTAAATGTAAATCCATGAGAGTGTCCCGTGAAAATAACACTTGTCCCTCCTACTGTATTAAAAACTCCACCTTGCTTTCTGTGTCAACCTATAAATATCTCGGTGTTCATATAACTAACGATCTCTTCTGGAACATCCATGTCGAATATATCAATGACAACGCTAATCGCTTATTAGGCTATCTCAGAAGAAACTTTTTCCTTGCCCCTGTTTCGCTTAAACTTCTCCTATATAAAACTTTAGTGCGCACCAAACTTGAGTATGCAAGCTCTATCTGGAACCCTGGCGTATCCCTAGCATCATCCATTGAATCCATTCAAAATCGCTCCGCACGTTTAATACTTTCTAACTATCACCGTATACAGCCAGCGTCACCTCCATGAAAGCGTCTCTATCTTTGCCGAACCTCTCCTTTCGTAAAAAAATAGCTCGCCTCTGCTTATTTCACAAAATTTATCACTCTAACCCAGCACTTCGAACCTCATTATTTTCAGAACCACCATACATATCGCCGCGCACCGATCATCCACTAAAAGTAGGAATCCCCTACTGCATCACCTTTTATG